ACTAAAACAATGAAAGTGATTTCTGTACAGAACAGAGCAGCAGTGACTGCCACCTGTCAGAGACCAAGGTGAAGTGGAGGAAGCCACTCTGTGTGCTGTGAGAAGAGGGAGCAGCTCCCCGCTATCATTACAGAAAGATTTTATTTACACTTCTGCCTTTCAGTTCCTATAACGCACTGTAAACATAACCAGCAAGCCAGTCTGCAGATATGATCCAGATGGCAGGATATGGACAAATACATCTCCCACTGACACATAATAAAAATTGTATTATGTTATTATAAAAACATTATTATTCTTGTCAAGCAACTGGGATGGGCATGCTTTTTATAGTTTGTGAGATGACCGGGTGAAATATCCACCTTGTAACCTAACCTCAATACAGGAGTTCATTATTGATAGAAGTCAGTTTCGTGACTAAGCATGATACTAAACAACACTCGCAGAAAAATCCTCACCTTATAGAGACAAAGATGTTACTGTCAAAAAAGGCAGGCTTCGTGAAATAACAAAGGCATTCTTATTTTCAAGATTCTGAGCTGAGTAAAGCAGCAGCTTTTTGCCTGCAAGCCAGAATTAGAGGTAATAGTAGAGGACAGGAGTTCACAGTGAGGCCAGTTCACTTCTGGATTAGGTCAAACTCTGATACTGAATTTCACTGAATCACTGGTGAATGAGCCAGATTTACTAGAAAATATACCTTCAGTGTACCATCAATGTATACAAATCTGAAAGATTTAAACAAACAGCTTTAAATACTCTTTAATTTTTAGTTCAGATTCCTAGTCTGCAGGAGGCTAAATAAATAACACAGTCAACAATGTGGAAAAAATGACCTGATTTGTTTAGCCTGTCAGAGATCACAGATGAGATGAGCAGCATTGTTTATGCTCTGATTCCCAGTGCTGCTAAAACTAAAACTATTCGTTAATTTAAAGCTGCAGTCCATAACGTTTTTTGGTTAAAAATGATCCGAAATCAATATTTGAGCAAGTGCATAACCAGCCAGCGTTCGAACCGCCTTACTTTAGCCCGATTCACAATGGTCATCTTATAATAATGTTTTCTAATTTGAGAGGTACGGGTAGGTTTTCGCGGGAAATTCGAGCATACTGCTGCGTCATTACGTCACGTCTGTAAACATAAAGAAGTTGTCCCAGCTACTAGGTTATCGCATGTGAGGATCCTGCAGGTGGCGGATCGTTTATAGTCTTTTCTCACAGCAGCCAGAATAATTAAATGTATCATTTTGATGGCGGATTGTAATCCAGAAAGGATTATGTGTTTATGAAACACATGTGAATTAAAGTAAATTATATTCCAGTTTTAAATGTGCTTCTGATTACAGATAGCCTGGGATTACAGTTCGAAGGGAGCATAATTTGCTTTTTGGGTTAAACAAATTTCTTAATATGAAATTCGAGATTCTTATTTGGGTCATATTCCAAGATGTAGGCTAGAATCTGTGAGTGCAGTGACTGACAGCCACACACACATACTCCTCAAAACATTAGATTCATCCGCGCTGGAGCCGTGCCGGTGCACAACCCACACAAGGAAGATAATTCCACACTCAGCTGCAATTGTAGGTTTTCAAACGGAGATGGCGACAAAGAGGCAAAATTTACGGACTGCAGCTTTAAATAAACAAAAATAAACTAATATAAAAATATTAGATTAATAACTTTAACTCAAAATCTTAAAACTCTTATTCTCTGTATGTCAAACTTGTAGCAACAGTGATTGACCCCTAATACCCAAGTTCAAACTGCATTTGGACCCACAAAGTTTCCTTGGCCCCAAATGCTGTTTGAACCTTGTCTTTTGAGGTTGCTGGATTATAGGGATCAGTGGATTGGCACTTTGCTGGCTCTCTACAAAGTCTGCCCTTGAGAGTGAGAAAAAAGCCCCTATGGCTTCAAAGCATTTTTGTCTCTCAGTGATGGTGGAGCATTATATCATTTTATCTGTCCGGCCCTTATTCAGAGAGCTAATTGCATCTTTCACTTGAGCGCACACAGCAGAATAGCATTTGCCCTCACAGACCTTGAAGAAATCATAAAAACAATGGCTTGTCTCAACAATAACTTAATAATTGGCCACTGTTCATAGAATTTATTATATATATATATATATATATATATATGTAAAATATATACGTATATATAGTATAAATACTATTATATATTTTTTAAATGTTTTATTTCAGTTTTAGTTATTTTAGTACATGAAGTTAAACTAAAGAAGCGAAAAGAAGAAATATTGCTTTGGTATATGAAATAAAATAAAATAAAATAATTTAAAAATAAAGTAATTAATTTAACATTTATTTCAAGTAACAAAAATGTATTTTATGGTTTTAGTTTGGTTTTCAGTACAGCTGCATTAGCCCTTGAACAATAAATTTAGCGATGTTATGATTCTTAAAGTTAAAAAAAAATTTTTTTTTATATTTGATGTCCTGACATACAAGTGGATAAAAGACAGCTCACAATACCCAGATTCTGTGGCATCTCCGTGTGGTGCTGAAAGGGTTAACACATCCCACCAGCAAGCACTCTGATCTATAACACCCATAAGCCCATTATAGACTCCACTATACACTGATAGGGTCTCACATGGACTGCTTCTCTACTGAATAGAAAGGTGGAGGAAATAATTTGGAAGATATATTATATAAGATATTATTATCAATACTATTATCCACTGGTAAAGATTAATAGTGATGGAACTGATGATTAATTCATGCAGCGATAGATAGGGAGTCAGCAGTCACATATGAGGAACCATACGGCATAAGGCAGTCTAACAGAGAATTTAGATTAAAGCCTTGACGTACAACACCACAGAATGGAGAGATTAAGAAAGACAAGAAAAATAGGTGATGAAGTGAGGAGTGATAGAGTGACCATGCAGTGTATGCAATCTTGTGCATGCAAGTATGTGTGTGTGTGTGTGTGTGTGTGTATGTGTGTGTGTGTGTGTGTGTGTGTGTGTGTGTAGGTGCTGGTATGCCACGATGCGGAGGAAGTAAATTTAGATTTAACGCTTTGTCCTCTCTAGCTTCATATCTGCTGATGGTTGCAGTGTGCAGCATAGCATGTTGTTATCAGCTGTGCTGCTCAGAAATGCCAACACTTTACAGAACAGAGCATAGCAAATGTTGTTATGTGCTTTATAATAGAAAAAGTAAGGTTAAGTGTGTTAAATGAAAAGTTCAAAAATGAAACTTTGCTGAAAATCTACTCACCATCAGGCCATCCAAGATGCAGATGAGTTTGTTTCTTCATTGAAGAAACATTGTTTTTGAGAAATTTACCATTACATCATTTGTGAAATCCATTAAAAATTCCATCCCCTGTTTTCCTCTCACATCAAAAACCACTGACAGATTTGTTTAGAACCATTTTGGACTGTTTTCACTTGTAAACGGTGCTTGACCTGTGCATATTTCTCTCTTTCATATAAGATGACTTTTCACTGGAGAAAGTAATAGTATGGACAGAGGATTCATATTTTAGCCGGAAGCAGCAGTTTGAAGTTTTAAAATGGATTGTTTCATGGTTTGATTGATGCAAACACACAGCTTTTCACTTCACGATACATTAATCGATGGACTGGAGTCATGTGGATTACTTGTGGATTATTGTGATGTTTTTAATCAGCTGTTTGAACTCTCATTCTGACGGCACCCATTCACTGCAAAGGATCATTGGTGAGCAAGATGTGATGCTAAATTTCTCCAAACCTGTTCTGATGAAGAAACACTCATCTATATCTTAGATGGCCTGAGGTTAAGTAAATTGTAAGCAAATTTTCATTTTTGCGAGAACTATTCCTTTAACCACACCTTATTCTTTTACACACACAAAAGGACTTAATAAAATTCACAAGTTTAACATATATTTATAGTCAAGCTGTCAAGTTGTCGGATAAACCCAGGAGTGTCACTCTATTCCACCCATATATCCGTTCCAGATAGGCTTTCAGTCTGTGTTGCTTAGCAACAGGCAAAGCTTGATGCTTTCATTTCTTATGGAACAGTATTCATTGGCAAAGAACAGATATACAAACTAACCAATGACGTGCTGATCTTGCTTAATTATGAATTATAAACATCCTTGAAGCACAAGAACGGATAACATGGGCAAAAAAAAACATCCACACACTTCAAACTGCATGTACTCTACTGAACAATTTACCACATACAAATGTCAATAGCTTACTACCAATGCAAACAGAGTCACACTGACTTGAAAAACAACATTTATGAAGGAAATAATTAGGGTTAAATAAACGCACTCCATCATTTAATATGCATTTACAGAATGCTGCCATTTCATTGGCTGTGGGAGCTCAGGTGGGTTTGCCAGGGCAACCTCACAGGAAGCCTTACACCAATGCAATCAAATCTTTCACCCTGGGATTTCATAAAACTGTCGTTTCACACTCACCTTCTCACCTTCACATAATCTATTAGCTGTCAAATGGCAGGAAGATACCCGCTATCACAAATACTGTGATACTGACAGAGTAAACAGAACATATGTTCTGAATCTCACAACATCACAAGGTATTCTTATGCTAAATTTACACTGCAAGGGTGGCACAGAAGTGCTTCTGTATAATGCTGTATAATGCTGCTTAGAGGTGGCATAAATGCATTTACAAAGCATTTACAACTGTATACTTTGATACTAGGGGCTAAGGTTGGTCAGCGCAGGCAGAAATGGTCTTTTATGCAGTATTGTAACTTTACACTGAATTTTGAGCAGGCACAGAGCAGCTTTAATTCAGCAGTGTAAAGACACCTTTATACTTTTTGAAGTATTTAGCAGTGTACACTTAAAAAGGAAAAATAAATAAATCAATGAATAAACAAACACACATGGCGGCTACCAGAAATCATATCATATGCTACTGTTTAAAATAGTAAATTAATTTTTTTATAATTTTTGCAAAAGCTCATGCGTCATCTTTCTGAAACTTTAATAACTGACCTTTCACCTCTGACGAGAACTGGGCAGAGTGTCTTGCTTCAAAGAGCTTCAGTTCCTTATTCAAGTCACAAATGGTCAAATCAACGTCCCATGACAGGATCCCTGTTAGATACACAATTAATAAATCAATAGTACACAATGCTAAAATGTCAAAAGATAAACAATATCCTACACAAAAGTTACACAGAGACTTGTCATTGATATGATAACTGCTAAAAAAAAAAAAAACATACACTGTAAATTTGTATATTGGAATATACTTTACAAGAAAATACTATTCCAGTCTTTCAACTTTAAAATGCCACGTTCAATTCAATGTGTTACTTGCCGTTTCTTTGTAATTACTTGTGAAATTTACTGGCAATTTCTGAAAGAAAATGGTTTCTACACCATTCTTTCAGTGTATAATGATCACATATCGTCTGCATATGCATACATAGGTTTCTTTGTATGATTATCAATTATTAAAAGCTGTTATTATCAATTATCAGTTATTATCGATTATTGTCAATTATCAACTACTGTTAAGCTTTAGCAGTTCTGCACTGTTTATCTGAATAACGTCTGTTTGGTCCATGTGTGACTACTGAACTCTTCATGCTAAACCCAAAGGTAGAAACCCCCAAATGCGACTCACCCTGTTTAATGTGTTCTTTCACTGAATCAAGCTGGTGATCTGTTGAAATTTCTCCAATCACAATAAGCATATAGTATCGAGTCTGGCAGAAAGGAGGACCGACACACCGCTGCTGTCCAAGGTGCTGAATAATCTCGCGCTTCTCCTGAGGACCTATAGTAGCATCTCCTAGCGGCATTTCCATGGTAACCGAATCTGGAGCTGAGGGAGTTCTTGCATTTCCATGACAACTGCAGCCATCAGCCCACTCCGTGGGGCGGGATTAGAGGAGGAGCGGAAAGAGTGGCTCGGAAAAGACGTCCTGCTATTAGTTATCGGCTGCCACCACACGCTTACATTTCATCATGACAACTTTGCTATCGATAATGTATTCTGAGATACCTAGGGGAAATAGTTGTTTACGCTCCATCTGCAAATGACTTTTCATTATGCCAAGAAAATTGGATGTAATCCAGAATATATTGATTCTCAAAAACGGATGTTTGCAAACTCACTCTCTCTTACTGAAAGGCAATCACAGCCAAGATTTTCTCTTATTATAATCATATTTTAGTGATCAATCATCAATAATCAAGGAAACTTTTTATCTTATTTTTGTGCCAGGAGATCAGATGTTCTAATACTAAACAGATTCTTGTCACAACTTCATGTCATTATGGGAAGATTAAGCTTAAGTTTTGGGTTTTGTAAATCACATACACATGATATATGATCCAAAGATTATTCTCCATAAAACAAAAATAATGACCGACAAATGAGATTGACTGATGTGCAATGTCTTATGCACTGCAGATGAAATATTATCTTTAAGCACATCTCACAGGGTTTGGTCATGGTATGGCTTTTGCTGATATCTGATATACATTTCCACAGTGTCTCTAGTCATGAGTCAGCATTCTTTAAGAGGTTTACTGCAAAGTCCTTATTGCAGCTACTGTAACATGAAGAGAAGGATTGTATACTGCCCTCTGCTGTCTACTTCAGTGCACAAACACAAATATTTGAATTATATTGCTTTCCCTGATTTCATTCTAGGAACCATTTTGTAAAAACAGAGATAAATAAAAACAGAGATATTTAAATATACACAGTCACAAATTTGTATTGATATTTTACATTGCATTTATACTGGTGTTGCACGTAGGATAACGTACAAGCATTACTATCCAGTTACAAGTGACATCTTCTCTGTTATTAACCATTGTTTGTATTATTTCCAAAAGTTAAATGATTGTGTGCTCTGGAAAATATATTCAGCTAGCTGTTAGATTACTTACAATATGCATGATATTTTGTACAAAGTACATTTCTGATCTCATCTGATATTTCCCCTTTTTTTTGATGGCTTATTGCTTAGTGGAAAATATCATATATGTTCTCATAAGTTCTTTTGAATAATGTATTTTTTCTTACCACACTCATATACTGGTATTATCATTTACTATTGATTACCTTTACTCCTAAGACATTGAACTCTGCAGCTCCTTCAGGATTTGATTTCACTTTAAAGTGTTTTGTTTGAAGGACTTCCTATCTTGGTTGCTTGTTTGGTTGTGTGTGTGTAAGTATCAAATTTGTATGATTTTATTTGTTATTTTTTATTTTTATGTAGAATACTAGTCATAATGTCAGCTGCCACCAATGATCTACACTGCCATACGCCTCAGCATGGCCACTTCTGATCACACTCTTTCTTAAAGATGTATGCAGAGTGACAAGTTTTAAAGACTTCTTCATCTTCAGCTCCTCATTAACGGTACTAATGCTTTCACAGACATAACCATACCTGTTTGCCCTTATTGTAATTAAATTTTTCTGCATGTTACTCACAGGCTAATCTGACCATGATGTGTAAACAAGAAAAAATGCCCTTTATTCATAAAATGTAATAGCAATGTTAGTATTTAATTTTTGTTAATCTGAAGCTTTCAAATGAAATCTAACAGACACGTATGTATGAATAAATTAGTGAAAAAATACACACTGTCATTTGGCTCTTTAGTATTCCTATGTGTTTTGAAATATGTTAGTTCCTATTAATTACCATGCGCGCGCATATCAAAAGATGCCAAGGCAGAAGGCACCGTCAAGTGACACTCATGTATCCCACACACACCCCATCATCTTCATAGAGATAATCGACTCGCACAACCTTTCCTTTCTTCCTGCTTTCTTCCAGAAACAGACAAGCCTGCGGTTTAGCACAGGATCAGTTTCTCAGGTAATGGGCTCATTTTTGTAAGATGTCGCCATCGCTGTGACTTGCATTTTGTGCTTCCAGCGCGATGCTTTGTGACCGATGGACGAAGTGATTTTAATAGTCTGTTATAAAGGCGTGTTAGTCCAATGTAACAATGGTTCCTCGTGTGAGCACATAATGTCGAGAGGATAACACATCGTTGTATTTACCTGATGCCTTCGAGACGAGTCACAGGGAACGTTAGCTGTCAAGTGCTTGATAAGAAATGTGGTGTTTGAGGGATACGTAAAAATATTCTTTCGGAAATGCCAAAACTGGCTGTACTGTATAGCAGCCATCAATAGTTGGTATCGACATTATGTCATCTCATATCTGTTTGCAGCCACTAAACCAATGAAATGCATGATGCAACACAACACATGATGATGATCAACAACAACATAGAACTGAAGCAGGCTTATGGGCCATTCCATGAAACTGATGCAGTTTCCTGACATTTCTGGAAGATTCAAAACATTCTGTCAGACAAATACTTTTAAAACTGCATTATGCCACCACAACCTAAATTAATACATTTTAAGATACGCCAGAATGTAATTATGGCAGGGTTGACAGTTTTACGGTTTAATTTGACATACAGGGCTTGTACAAGGTGCTTTCTTATAATCTCTGAATTAAATTATAAATTATATGGAAGTTATTTTTAAAACAAATATGAGAGTCACAAATGGTACCTGTTTTGTACAAAGATCCTTAAAAATATGATTTTAATGATTTTGTAATTAAAAAAACAACAACTAGCCTACAGATAACTAAAGAACCAGTTCCTATATCATTTTACCCTGTTTGTTCAATTTATTAATATACATGTTATCATTATTGGCAGTGTTGTAATAATAATACTAATAATGATGGTATCAGCTTAAATCTCAAAGTGGATCTCTCAGATCAAACAATATTCGTTGGAATAAATGGAAAAAAAGATTACCTCAAGAAAGATACTGGCTTATCTCAAGAGAATTTTAGCTAACTATTGAGCGAATTTCAATCAAAGATAGCCACTGATTTAGCTCTTGTAAGTCAAATGTTTATATTTTTTGTCTTACTGGGCTCTGCCTTTAGTGGGCGTGTTTTGATAAAGTATCTAACTTTGCGATGTATCAGGCGGTTGGATAAATGGCTGGAGCAAGTTGCATCAAACCCCTTACGTCAAGAAACCCGTTAGTAATAATACTCTTAAAGTTATAATTAAGTTTTTTTTTAATTTAAGGGTTTTGCAGCTGGGCAATGGTAAATAAAACACGAACAGAACGGCCTTAAACATCTGCGCAATTCCAACTCTTGAGTACAAAACCCCGCCTTACGCTTCACTCTCGGCCAATCAAAGCAGGTTTTCTAGCTGTTCGGTTGCGCCAAGAGCTTTCGTGTCCAATCAACGGCGAGTATTCCTGCAGGTTTTTTTTGCCGTGAAGTAAAAGCTTTCGCTAAGGCTATTAACGGCTTTGAAAGTTGGCACAGTAATGCAACACTATGGATGCCAACTGCCGTAAAACTCCAATGAAGAAGAAGGCTGTGAAAGTATACAGAAGTTCTTACGTGCACTGTAAAATGTCACACGTTCGCTGAGATGGATTAACGCCTACCAGGAATCCAGCAAGTACGATAGCTATTTTTTCCTGCTGTGTTTTACAGAAAGGGCTGCTTTCGTTTCAGGCTATAGCTGCAGTGCTTGCTAGCTACCTGCATCGGCGTATGCGCACTCTCTCCGTGACAAAGCTTTGGAAAGGCTTTTCGTGGGAAAATGCGGCGTGCAAATAATCTACGTGTTTGGCTGTTTGAGTCTTAGCAAATCTTTTGTGCATTTCGTGATGTTCTTTGGTTGCATAGAAGTTACTTTGGGGGTTGTTTGCATTGATTTTACTCGTCATTTCCTGCAGTGAGGCAGCAGGAAATCTCGCGATTAAAGATCGTCATTTGTATAAATTAAATTCAGCTTTCATGTACAACTTCTTGGTAAGCCTGTTTTGTCTAAGATGTAAAAGTAAAAAGCACCTTAATGCGCACACTTTTTTGCTATAATATCCAAAATGATGTACACTCATATGAGATAAAGACACTGCATACAGCCTCCAAAAAAATCCGTTTTTATTTTTTTCTACGTGGAGCGAGTCGCTCTTATGGGCGCCGCCATGTTTACATCACATGACCAGGCCGAATTAAAAAAAGAAAAGAAAAAAACAGCAGGATTTGAAATAAAATACGGAATGGGCTCATGAATAATAAAACAAAGTTAATCAGTACAGCACTAAAATAGTGAATATTCTGACATAGAGGATCCTAATTTTTCTGTCTTTCTACTGTGTTGTGCCAGCAAAAGCGATTTACATTAAAAGCTGCAGAATTGAATTCTGTTTGCATCATTTAATCATTATTGTGTACCACCGTAAAGCTACTTTGAAACAATCTGTATTGTATAAAGCTCTATAGAAGTAAGGTGACTTGACTAAAGCATTTGAAACTTTAAAATAATTTCAGAAAGTCAAGAAAAAAACACATGACCAGCCTTTATCTTGGAATTGACAGTTACTAATAATAACATGTAAGGTTTATATAGTGCTTTTATCTTGTACACAAGGTACTTGACAATGCATAAACATAGAAATACATCTAAACAAAACCCCTGCCAAACACATACAATTGTACATTATGAAATCATGTACTTAGATACATCAATCGGTTTCATCTGTCTTCTAAGTGTTCTAACCCTCCTGTTTGATCTCTGTGTATGTAGACATCTGCTAACCCTGTCCCATCCTTATGGATCCTGGTGAGAGTGATCTTGATTCAAGTTTTCCTCAAACAGAAAACCCCTGCCTCATAGTTGAGGACTCGCAGCCTGACAGCGTGGCCTTGGAGGATGATCCTGACAGCAGCTACTGTGCCCTTCTCGCCCGCCGCCTCTCTAACCTGCAGCCCACATCACAAAGCCCTGTGCTGGTGAGACATCACAAGCCATAGCAGCATGTATGCTTTTTCTATAAAGACTCTGAAAATTGATATTGAGTCATCATGTCTTTGCAGGAGCTAATTTCTTCCCCTATGAAAAGTCGTTTA